TTTTGTATAACAAGTTGAATAAAGTTGAAGTTTCACTTCGAAGATACGTCACCTCTTTCGTTGCCAATCTATAAAAGCATTATAACACATGGCGACTGGAGAAAAATCGTATAGAATATTTTTTTTTGGAACCGAACTGGATAGTTAAGTAGAGAATTTTTCTCCAATAGAAATCAGTGTTAATTTCATGAAAAGTTTGCACATGTTAGATCAATCTATTTCTAAACGAAAATTGGTAATACGTTCTTGACAACCGTCAGGTATGTAAAACTCCTTCTAAAAACTTATCTCAATTTTACACTATAATTTTCCAGATATTATTTCACATAATTTTAGTTGGTACAAGCTCGGTTTTAGGCCAATTTGAGAAACCAGGAAGTTGTTTCTACCAATTTATGAATCAACCATAAACAAAATCCTTTGTGTAAATACAATTTTTCTTTCCGCATTTCCTCGAATGAGCGTCCTGGCTAAAAGGAGAGTCGCTTATCGGAAGGGGAGCGCTTGTCAAGAACTATTAATCTGTAGTTATTCCGAATTAGTTGAGTCTTAAAAATAAATAAAGTGGAAATAGAAACAGATTTTCCTTGTATCCCTACTATTTAAGAAAGTGAGGGAGGAGGGGGAGGGGCGCTTGTTTGATATTATAACTAAGGGAGGACGCTTTTTCGAAAGAGGGCACTCATTAGAGCGTGGGCACCTATCCGAGGAAATATGGTGGTTTTCGTATAGTTTCGTGTAGTTAGTATGATTAGATTGGTGGGCTTAGAGCATGGTGTAATTGTTAGTTGTGGGTGTAGGTGGTTTTTGTGACACACCTATTTTGTAAGAGAGAGATATTGTGCACAAAATTCAAGACGGTTTTTGAACGTATTACCATTGATCTCTCGGATTCATTTGGCAAATATTTCGTTGATTTGAGATTAATTTCAATTATAATTTATCCCTGAAAGCACTCCCTATTTTTGTATCCGATGCCATATTTGCATTTTTTGGCCAACAGAGTGTCATTTTTTTAATAAAATTGTTCATGATTTAATATGATGAACAGAACGAACAAAACACCATAGCATCCGATCTAGACTATTTTTTTATGCCGCAGTAAAGAAAAGTCCCAATCTATTAAAACTTTGAATTGTTTTCCACACGATTTTCGTTATATGATATCCAAGATGATCTAAATGCATACCGTGAAAGTTTCTGTTAAAGATTTTTTTTTCAAAACGAGTGAAGCTAAAATCATGTAAATCGTTCTTTGCTAATGTAACCTTATCGAAAATTTCTCGCCAAATGCTTTAAATGTTGGTTTGTAAGAGTACCAAATAACAGGTAAGCTTAGAGTGCACCTTCGCAGCTTAGTTGAAAAAATTAATTATTTAATCTACCTTGAGAACATGCTAGTAAGATTTTAGTCCAGTGACTTGTCCATCTCCCACTTTAATTTCAGTCCAGCCACTTCTCATTCGTCAATTTGATTTTGGTCCACTCACTTGTCAATTTGCAAGATGTAACTTGTATAGAGAATGGAGGGACCTTGACACAGAATCCTAGCAGGAAAGAAAATGAGACAGTTGGTTAGAATCATCTTTGAAGACCAGAACGAATGTAGTGAATAGTTTCTCATGACTGCAAGGACCACTGAAAAGCAACTAGCTATAGTGGCAATCATGTGGTTTCAGCTTGATACCTTCAAGTTACATTGAATAGAAACTTTCTGCCAAGCCCAAGACAAAGTTCTGTTTTGGCAAAAATATTCTCAAAAATTCCGCGCGGTTTCATAAAACGTTTAACATATGAAATAGTCTTAATGCAGCATCGGAAATATATTCTTCCGCCAAAACACCAGTATTCTTTTTCGATTCGTTGATTTGTCTAAATGGTTTCTTCTTATTTAACAACGTCTAGGGGGGCGAGATAATAGAGGAGGGAGGGGTGGGGGTGGGAGGGAAGCATGGCTGACTTCAACAGGGTAGCCACTACTTCAACATCTTACAGGCTTTTAGGTTATACTACATTGTTTTTAACTACGAATACTTTTTTTTTTTTTTTTTTTTTTTTCATTTTCTGAGAGACAGGGTGATAATCTACAGCTCTGAATATCCTCTAATTGTAAGCTGGCTGCTTATCATCTAATGAGTGTCGCAATGCCCATTAAGATGTACCAAAAACGAATCATTCTCCACTCACCAATTTCTGAAGAGTTCTTTAATTTCTATTGTCCTCATTTGGAATACGATTTCTGATCAATGAAAGAGAGACGGCAGAGTTAAATTGAAATCGTCGAAAAAACACAATTAAACTCGGACAGCCTCACAGAAACTGGGATAACTTTGTCTCGAATACAAATAACTTTGACATAAATGACAAAAAGTCGTCGTGAGCCACGATACTGAAAAGACAAAAAAAGACAAATATTTCCCCTAAGTACCCAGGGCCCCCCCTCCCATATCATCCGCTTCCTTGACCTTCCTTGGCATGAAACCTAGTCAAAAACTTTTCCATTGACAGTAAACGTGTACAGTAAATCTACCAAAAATATGAACGCAAATAAAATGATTTTCGTGCGATTTGAAGTTACCATGAAAAAGAAAAAAGCGGGCAAGCAGTGAAATATTGCTGCTTTATGAGTATACTACGAAATATAGCAAAATCAGTGATACTAATAACATATTCCCAACTTTAACGTCGTTCTTTGCTTGAAATGAGAGTTAGGAACAATTATCGATGATTCCCGAGAAAAACAAGACAAAATTCCTCATACTGAAGTTCGTCCAACAACATTTAAACCTGATAATTACCTTCGAATGTATGAAATGATAGTTCGGCCATTTTGTCTTCCACCTTGTCAACATGTTTTGCCATGTCCTGGCTGAATTGGCAGTCTCTTGCCAGGGTTGCCACAAGTAGGTTTTCTCGCAGATTTGGAAATGACAATGTCCTGGCCTGAAGCTTTCTGTGAAACCGAACCTTATGAATCACCCCAGAAGATTTCAACGGTAGATAAACTTCTACGACCGAGTAACGCCTTTTGCAGCATGTGCAGGCGAGGAAAAATAATGAATATTAACAAGAAAAAATTTGCAATTCAGATCATCAAAGCATCTTTGATTCCTCTTTTTGTCTCAGGAGTTGGGGGAAAATAGGCAAAGGACATCTTTATTTTCTTGTATGACATCATATCTACACATTTTTGTGCGCCCAAACGCGTCCAAATCGGGAACAAGCTTCAAGGTTTCTAATAATCGAACCCGCAATAATGAATTGTCCTGGTCTGGACATAGTGAGTTTACAATTAAATTGAGGGGGATGGGACGGCGGGTGTGTCTGTTGTCGAAGTTGGAAATACTTGCTTATCAAAGCGCATTTCACCCAGCTGCAGGCCAATCAGGACGATGGAGAATATGACAAGTAGCCTTTAAAGATCCAAACATGCTGAAGCACGGCAAGACGCGAGTGCGTGTACAAAGCCGCAATCGGTTCAGGTTTTGAAGCTGGGAATGTTGCGCCAGTTTTCCAAAACCAATTGATTAGAATGGTAGCCGCCTTCGCATCCTAAGGACCGGCGGCAAAGGAGACTATAGGCAAAATAAGGCAGAACCAATGCAATCTCTGATTTCTTTTCCGCATTCAGTTATCAGTAGCCGATGGTAGCCTGGACTGACATCGATTTACAGTTAAAAAGAGACTATTTAGGAACGGTCACGAATTTTTTTGGAACGCTTTGCTTAACCAACTATTCCTTTCCTCCCTCACTGCCGTTGACCAATTTCATTCCTATGATAATATTATCCCTAATATTCTTTATGTGTGTGATTTTTTAATTTGGTGTTTTTGTTCTTTTCCTTGGGGAGCAATTATTGAAAATTACTGATCTATTCGCAAATGGGGATAATAGACAAAATTGTCAGATTTAAAATTCTTGAAACATCGATCCAAGGCTTGCGTATTTTTTTGCATTATTTCCCTTTGGCAAGAAATTCAGTAAATAGCCCGAAATTTCAATATTGGTTTTGTGTAAAATACTTATTTAATAATTTAAGGAAAAATAATCCTTATTATCTCTTATTGATTAATTTAGATCATATCCCATCACAAGACACACCGACAAGAACAGAAGCACTCCAGCGCTCCATACTAATGAGCATACTAAAAACTAGTCAAAATATTTTGCTAAATTATAAGTAAAGTAAAAGTAAAATTGTATTAAATTTAGCTCAATTTTCCAAGTGTAAATGTGGAAGGACACCAACTTCTACCAAGTAAGCGAATGGCAAACGGAATCTTTATAAAATCGTTTGACGTCTTGAATGTTTGGATTCAAATTAAGCCGGTAAAATAGGACGATTTTCGATTAAAAAAGAAAAAACCAGAAAAAAATAAGAAATAAAAGAGCAAATGAAAACATGAAATAGGCTTGTGTTAACTACGACTAAAATAAGTGTACCATGTAATTGGTTGAAATGGTGGTGAGATTTTTCTAGATTATTCAATCCTGGATCAATCTAGACTCTCAACTGAACATTGCACTTTATTATAGACTTGAGTTACATTACGCTGTAGATTTAGATCTAGGGCGTTTAATAGATTGAAGATGGATGTTATCGTTAGTTCTGAACAACATATCAAATACCTCAGACAACTAGTGAGAGAATTTCCGTAATAAATTCATGACGTGCTAGTTAGTTAAAACAAATTGAAGCGCTGTTCGCGCATCGTCGTCGCGAAAACCACATGAGCTTTATCATAATTTTTTCATTCAGGCATACATACATTAATAACCGTTTTTCTATTCGTCTCTCATTAAGAACGAGAACACCACCAAACAAATAGATGTAAGTACCACAATCAAAAATAGACCATAAAATTGTAATAAATATGCTATTCAATTTAAAATCTATCTAACGAGCTTTTGATTAAGTCCTATTAAGGTTATTCTAGTTTTAAAGGAGCCCAGAGTTTTTTGCATCTTTAAACTTTAACCCAATGCTTTCAAACTTGAATTGTAATTTTTTAAATTGTAACAATTTTTATTGTTCTAATCCATCTGTCATTTCCTCTAAAAACAGCGTGCAGCTCCTTCCAAAAGATGAGGCTATCCCCATCCTGGTAGTCTCGAATGCCTGAGTGGCATAAATATGACGTTGCGCCAAGCGTGCTGTCATTGTGTTTCCGCCCCTCCCTTTTCTATACAGTGTGCACACTGAATGATGGGAAAGAAAATGCGGGCTTCTGTCTTCATACTTTCACTGGCGCTGACGGTCTCATGTTCAGTCTCTTGGGAAGAGTACAGCTCAGCAGAACAGCCAGGAAACACACGATGGAAAGCAATATGAAAGCGAAGTGTTCGTCAAGCGGGAATCCGTGTTTGTAGCCCTTACTTATCGACCAGGCAAACACACTCCCAGCAAAAAGTGGAGCTAAGGTTCTGAAGGAAAAAGAACGCAATAAACCTGAGTAAAACTCAGTTACCTTGAATAGCGTATCGGAGAAATGCCAACTAACGCTTAACAAGTTTAGATAATTTTTCCCAAAACGACATGTTGAAGATTACCACGCTACGCGGCAGCCAATTAGAAACAGCCATATGTTAGCATTATGATTCTATGACTAACAAAAATTGTGGTGATCTTCATCGATCATTATTACGGAATTACCATCAGCGTACTGAAATTCATCTTTCTGCAAATGTACGTTCAGAGTTACATTATTTTTTTGACAAATTAAGTTCGCCCACAACCCCCTTGTAACCAAACCATTTTGAGCCACCCTAAAATGAACTAGATACAAATATAATTTGTTGATTGAGCTAATATGGGAGAGTTACATGTAAAACAAATAGTTAAGAGGTGCATGTGGAGGAAAGCTGAGTTTTAATCAAATAAGAGAACCCAAAGAAAAACACTGACAGCAAAGAGCGGAACTAATCAGTTGTTACCCAAGGTCTTACAAAAACAATCAGTGCCACAGCAATATCAGGAAAGGTCCTTAACCAATGCATTATCCTTGTCCCTTACAGTGCCTCAAATATATTGGGGAGGTAATCATTTCAGTAGAAATAAGATATTTTAGATGCACCTACCTGGATATGGAACTTGCTGTCATTGCAAGTCCATTTGCAGAGCCTAAGAGGTAAGCAGGTACCGCATTGTTGACAAGGATTCCTGTGGAGCTAAAGCCACAACCAATAGCCAACCTCATTGGAATGAGAACAACAATCATCAATGGCCAGAGAACTTTTGACCTGTAACGAGATTGGAGAAGATCATAAGTAGATGTCAATGAAGGTTGATTGTGATGTTTGAGCCATTTCAATCCTGACCCCTCATTTTTAGTTCATACTTATCATAAAATTTGCCTTTAGGAAAGATCTTCTTCTCTTTAGAGACTTTTTATCTACTAATTTTTCTTTAGCATTCTTCCTCTCCACTTTTCTCCATACTCTCTCCATGGAAGTCCCTTGGTTGAATTACCTTTTTTTTGCCACTAGCCTCTTTCATCAACTATTACATGTACTTTACATCAACCATGTCATTTCTTTGGAACCAACCTGTCATGAAGGGTATTCAAGGCTGACAAAGAAGCAATTGTGATTCCCAAGACAACATTTGCCAATTGAAAAACCTGTGAACAAATCCAATAATGAATAGGAAATTCCAAACATTCTCATCTATTTGTGAAAATGGGTACAATATTTAGTAAATAATAAAACAAATCCAAAAATGACATCAAAACAACATACATTACCCTGATTGATCCAAGGCACCTTTCAAACTAAAAGGAAGAAGTAAAGAAAAAGAGCAAATCAATACACATGTAATGATTCATTTGTTTTAAAACCCGAAGTGTATAGCCAATTATAGTAAAAAACAAACATTTTTCCCCAGTTGTTCAAAAGGTGGATAATACTATTCTACATGTATGAGTTAACAAAACCTACTGAACTATCCACTGGATTGAGATTTATTCAGTGGATAGCATTAACCACCCTAATCAAGCAACCAAGGCCTTAACATTTACCTTTGGATAAACCCAAAATTGAAGAACTAACATAGGTCCTGCTACACATAGTAATGCAGTGCCTATCTGGTCAGTAGAAAAGCCAAGTCCACCTGTATAAATCACACATAACACTAATGTTAGTGCATGATTGACTTTGCTGTGTGAAGGGCAAATTGTTTGAATGCAAATAAGCTGACTGTAACAGTAGCTTTATTCTTTTTTTTTTCTTTTCAGAAATCACCATTTTCTGGAAGGGTGAGGAGATTTCCATATACACTCATGTTCAATTTAAAGAAAAGGATCTTAAATTCAGTATGATTATGAGTCAGATGACTCTGGCAAAAATGGTTGGTTGAATGGGACTACTAATGCATGATGCCTTTACCATCAAAAAAGCAGACCATGCTTTACACATACATCACTCAAATATACTTCATTTTTCACATTTAGGAAAAAACAATCTTTGAGGGCCAAATGTATTTTGTCATAAGTAAGAATCAAGCCTTGATTAATAACCACTAAACAAACTTGCATATTTTATAAATAGAGGGATTTTACAGCATGGTCAGAATTTCAAAATGTGATCCATGCAAACTTGTGATCCATGCTCAAAACTTAGCATCCCTATTTTTCTGTCAAAAACACCTTACCATGTTCAGGTCCTGTGGCAGCCCACAAAGAAAACAACTCATCATAACCAATGACAATGAATGAAAGTGAACAATACACACAAATGGCAAGGGTTACAACACGATCCCTGAAAATTAAGAGAACAAGGAATTCATGCATTATTGTTTAAGCACAATATGTAACCTTAAACTGCACGTGCCATGAACTTAAATGTGCATTAATTTGTTCCTTTCTTATCAACACTGTAAGACAGTAAAAAGTATTTTCAAAATATCTTGAAATAACATGAGCTCTCTAGAAATTTATATTACCTCAATAAAACTGCAATTTTACTGCCTCTGAAGAATTTACAACATCTATATCTTGGACAACAGCAACTCTTAAAACCACAACAGTTTCTGTCATTGTCAATGTCCTCTTTGTTCACATCATTGATAAATATTTCTACTTCCTCTGTTTCTTCCAGACTATTTTTTTGTGTGCAGCTATTTTCATCATCTTCATCAATTAAACTGTTGGAAGCTGTGCTTTGCATGGCCAATTCACCAGTTTCTGAACCGCTTGATGATGTCTCATCATCACTGAGTAGCAAAAAAAAAATAGAAAAATCTATGATGGTCTAATAATGGTACAAAATTTAATTCATGACTTTCAACAAACCAACAGAACTGATGAAATTAATAACAAACATGGACAAGAGAAAAAGTAATGAGAGGAAGAAGACAATAACCCTTAACTTCCATGAGTGACCCAGACAGAGTCTCTCTGCACAATATCATGCAATGTAATGGTCACTATATACACAGAAAAGTGATAAGAATAGAGAAAAAAGTCAACAAGGGGATAATTAACTGATCCAGTACCAAATTCTACAAACTAACATCATAATAATTGTATAGCAGACAGTGAGTAGAATTACTAATGAGATTTTGGAAGCAAGAGAGTTAAACGACTAACTTTGTGCTATCTGACTAAAGGGCTCTGAATTTAATTAAGCCTGATCGTAGGCTCATTTCCTGTACAACAGCTGGTTGTTCAGAGCCTATATTGTATTACCAGCTAATATTGCTACCTTGTAACAAGAGTCTCTGGTAAGTAGAAGTAGGCCAACACAACTGTAAGTAAGAGTGCAGCACAGTGTAACAGGCAGGGAAGGAAAAATGGGAATTTATCAAAGAGTGAATCTGCAAAAAGAAATATGTTTGAACAGAAATGCATAAGCTGAGGCCATGAAATGTTCTTATGATTTATTATTATTATTATTAGTTTTCTTTGAGCATTTCCACTTTCAGTGACTGTTCAATACAGGTGGAAAACAATACAAACAGGCCCTTGGGACTCACATTAAGGTGACCTAATGGCTTAGCAGAGATAAAAATTGCAGTGTTTCAGGGAAACATTAAGTCGGGACTTTGACAACTGACCACTCAATACAAGGTGACCACTTTATATGGTGCCACCTAATAAAGATGTGACTTCAGTTATTTGTTAAATGCAGTTCTTGCAAAGTGACAACACTCTACTTTATAAGAGACATTCTGATAAGAACTTGTCACAAAACAAAAACAAAATGAATAAAACCCCGAAGAAAAATTTTATTTGCTAGCTGCAGGGCTTAATGTTTCTCTTTCAGTGGAATCTTATACACTACACTCTAACAAACCTTTCGTAAAAACACTGGGATATTTCTGTGATGGTTCTGCAAGATAACCTACAATTAGAAAATAAGACATCTGTTACTCATTTTAAATTTATTCAACATTTGAAATAGTAAATAACATTTAAAATAAACAACAATTTATTTTTACAAATTAATCAATAACTCAGAAAGGGTGCATGGAAAAAAGCCCAAAGAGATTTCTGAAAGACTATAAGATTCTCTTTCCAAATAGTATTATACTCCCTTGTAAAACACATAAAGAAGAAGCTGTTAAGCATGCAAGGTGCTTTATTCCATTAACATCCCTTCAATTACAGCTGCATGGATAATTAACTTTCAGAATACCAACCACTGAGGGAAATTATTATAATTCCTATTGGCATACTGTGCTGTTTTACATTCTAAATACCTTTATACATTAGTTATAACTCTTATACATTGTTTTAATTGGCTGATCATTTAGTTTTGGTGTCCATGAGTACATGGAGCATTTTCTTACCCCCTATAGCTGGACCAATGATAAGTCCCACATTCCAAGATGTCAGTATAATTGACATTGCCATTGCCTAATGAAACAATTCAGACACAATGTGTGAAAAATTCAGCATTAAATGCTGCGTGGGTTGAAACTGTATTTAAGAACACAGCAACCTTGAAAATAGGGGTGCTGAAATTACTCAGCACCAAAGGATATAAAATTACACTTACTGTATGTAGTCTTTCTGTTGTGTATACTAAAATGTATGCTTAAATGTTCTGTTAAATGATTTCAAAGGCTGGTCTCTAATTTGTTCACTATTTTACAAGAATAATTCTGGCAAGGCCATAGGAGCAGAGTGGGTTAGGGAGCCAAGGACTTACTCCTCAAGTTTAATCATCCCACAATGCTTCAAATGACATACCAAAGAGCTATCTAAATGTACAAAATTTTCAAGACCATGATGCCCCTACTGTGGGTATCTCCCAACAGGGATACCCCTCTGACCAATATTATTCATAAATGACAATCAGTGCCACATGTTGGGAGTCCTCCACTTCAAAATTTGTTCCTTTGGCCACCTGTAGTTCAGGGTATCGGCATTTAAATCACCAAGCACCCCCTCTGAGTGAGTGCACATAATATTGGCTAGTGAAATCTTAAAACTAATCAAAATAACAAATATAACTCCACCTGCATTGCTTGTGATTGTCACCTCACAAAATGAGCACACATGCAATCATAACAAACACACCTGATTTGTATTATCACTGACTTCCGAAGCAATTGTTTTGCATGTCCCTATGAGTCCTGAATTGAATCACAAAAAGATCATTTAATAAGTTTAGAAAATGTATTAACATATAAATTTCAACATTTTTCAATTGACTAGCCTACTAATTCCAAGCTGAAAAATTCTTTCACCAAATCCTCAGCCCTTAATTAATAAATTCTTCACTTCAGTTTCCTGCCACTTTGCCTTGGTTACAAAACCTTGTCAATTAGCAACACCATTGAAATGATCATCACCACAATAGTGTACAAAAACCACACTTACCAGCAGATAGTCCAACAAATAGTCTGGTAATGATGGCCATGTAGAGAGAGAAAGACAGACCAAAGCAAACCATGCCAACCAGGGTCATTGTAAGGCAGATCATCATCACAGGCCTTCTTCCAAATCTATCTGTCATTAATCCCCAAAAATAACTGAAAGGGAGCAAGTAAATTTTGGTTAGAAATGTTTGCTGGTCCATACCTGCTGTGCCTTGTACATCAACACTCTCAAAAATAAAATCAATGTACACCACTGCAATTGATGTGTCTTGTTTTAAAGTTTCTTTATTCATTAAGTTTAGAATAGAATCTTTAGGAACATACTTGGCCCCCAAGGTGCACATTTACTGGAAATCTTTCAATGATTATAAATTATTTGTAACATCTAGAACTGCCATGTTAAGTTACTATATCACATGTCAGCCTGGATCTAAGATTTTACTTATCAAATAAAAATTTCTCTGCAATTACCAAGCTGCAGTGCGTCCAATAAACATTGAAGATGCTACAACACCTGCATAGTATCCTAGAAAGGAAAAAAATTAATGGAAATTGTCATCAAATACCTTTGTTACATTATTTTGTAAATGTGGAAATAACTGAATATTACTGAGAACTTATGGCTAAGAAAAGTGGATAAGAGTGAGTAAATTTATCATTGAGCCTTCTATCAATTAGCACTAGTATTCAGAGATCCTTTGTTGTCAACTATATATAACATATAAATTTAAGGAGAGGAAGCAAATTGAGTATTTGTCCTTGATGAAAATTTGGATGGAGCACATGGTAAAAAACAAAATTAATTACATAGAGATCAAGTCAGTAATTTCAAAATCAGTAACTATCAAACCATATCATGTAGAACACTAAAAAAAGCCATGGTATGTCAGCCTGGCACTTTGTAGCTTAGTAACTGAACAAAAACTTTATGGGAATTATAGAAAGAATTATTATGTAACTGCATAGTACCTGTGTCTTCATCTGAGATCCCAAAGCTCTGACAAAAATATAAAGAAAAAAACAGACACATGACAATAAATCTCTGAATAATGACAATTTATATATCTTAGACATCAAGTACAAAACAGACATTTTTCATTGGTGTTAAGTTAACAACTTTTAGTGAGCTCAATAATCAAGCTTCCTTCCCCATAATTATAGAGCCTGCTGACATTTCCTAAAAATTTAGCACTATAATCATAATTTCATCTCACCTTCACCATAGCTGGTAAAAATGGAAACAATATGGTGATGGACATTGCAGAACAAAACTGAAAATAAAACAATATTCATCGTAATTGTTTAATTCCTTTAGTGCCAAGAAAATGTTGTAATTACCTGTAGATACACCATGGCACTTCTTAAATTATTTGCACCTCAATGTTCTACTTCCTCAAGGGCAAAAATTATTTGAGAGTGGGGCACATTTAAAATTTGGATGCAGCATACAAAATTTTCACTTTCATTTTCACCTAAATGAGAATGTTATAGTAATTAACAGATGTGTCTTGATTTTAACCTCTGATCTCTTCTGGCACTTTTCAAGTTAATTACCAGTTACAAGACATTCACTCAATTTCGACCACACTGTTCCCCTCTTGATCGGAGTCAACAACCTCTAGCACAGGAGGCTATGCCTCTTACACACAGGAATCTGTGCATTGAAAAGAATTTGTATCTGATTCTCTAAGGATATCTAGCTGCATTGGTAACATTGCTGCTTCCCAGGTGCTACATGGTTGTCCTTCTTTGAAACAGTGAATAGGTAGCACCATCATTCAAATCATCAGTCAAATGGAGGTCAACCCTTTAACTCCCATGAGTGACCATGACAGAATTTCTCCTTACATTATCAATACAGTATCAAGCATACAAGTGATAAGAATAAAGAAAAATGTAAATTAGGGGATTACAAGTTGATCCAATCCCAAATTCTCCTAACTAACATTGCAAAAACTGTATGACAGACAGTAGGGAGAATCACTTATGAGATCTTGGGAGTTAAAGGGTTAAAGATGCAACTTGTGAAAGAAATATTGATAGCATTTGTGGGTAGCTCAGCCCAAGCATCTGGAATCATTACATTACGACACTTCCGAGTTCTCGTTGTTCAGTGATCTGGTACCGAAATTACGGCGCGAGGACGAGGCTAGGTGCGAAGTCGCCCTATTTGGCATGAGGAGTAAAGTGCCGTAGTGGTGAAAATGAAAGAAAATTTCGCCAAATTCAGTGTGGGTGAGTGAAAAATTATTTGTGCGAGAGAGGCATACAGCTAAGTGATAGTGACGAAGGAGAGAAAAAAGTAGAACTGTTAGATTTATGCAAGAAAGCTGCAGCAATGAAGCAGATCCAATTAGCTGCCTCTGCTCAAGACCACAAGAGCTGTTGGAGGAGAAATTACAAACAGGTCTGGGCAAATTTCTAGTTCCTAAAATTTTGGATGCTTGGATGCACAACCTCTGTAACTTTCCAAAGTTTTCGTTCGGCGTCCACGTGCAGCCTGGCCAAACCTGGCTTAAGTTTCCTATTGTCATCACTAAACTTTTTGTCTTTTTTTTTTCTTTTTGATTCGTAGCAGGGCTTACTGTAATTTGCAAAACGATCTGAACGATAGGAATTGGAAATCCTTTACTTGCGAAATGAGCTCAAAATCTATAATTAGCAAAATTGCGAAATGAAAATCTGTAATTTACAAAACGAGAATCCATGAGGTAAACTCCACCGGCCAGAAGGATAAATCGGTCAGTTCGTCACTAGAGTAGATTGCAAACACAACTTAGCATATAATATTAACTATAAATAACATTTGAAACCTAAACTAAACATTTTTCAGATTTTATTCCATCTTTGAACATTTTTGTAGGTCCAAGCATTAAAAATTTTTGGTACTGGAAATTTGCCCTGACTTGTCTGTTTGCAATTTCTCTTCCAACAGTTTGTTTTTTGCAGTCTTTGACAGAAGAGGCAATTTTGATCTACTTCACTGCTTCATTATTCATTACTTTGAAATTAGAGAAATTTTCCATCTCCAGCAACCTCAGCCTGGACACCGAGCTGAACAGGAGGATCGGCAAGGCCTCAACAGCTATGGCCCGCCTGACCAAGAGAGTGTGGGAGAACACTATGCTCACCATCAAGACCAAGATGCAAGTGTACCAGGCGTGTGTGCTGAGCACACTGCAGAGTTGGACTTCAATGCTTTCCACCTGCGTTGCCTTAGGAGAATCCTCGGTATCACCTGGCAGGATCGCATCCCAAACACCGAAGTCCTAGCAGGGGCAGGAACTGTGAGCATGTACGCCCTGCTAACCAAGAGACGCCTGCGATGGCTCGGTCATGTCACCCGCATGCAAGATGGCAGGCTACCGAAAGACATTCTGTACGGTGAGCTTGCCACTGGGTCCAGACCCACTGGACGACCTTCGCTCCGCTACAAGGATGTGCTCAAGCGTGACCTGAAGGCGGGTGGCATTGCGCCAGCAGGCTTCGAAGCACTGGCAGCGGACCGCAGTGGCTGGCGATCCACCAACATGTCAGCCATCAAGACAGCAGAGCAGAAAAGAGAGGAGCAGTGGGAAGACAAGAGAGCTCGCAGGTACTGGAAATTTGCCCTGACTTGTCTGTTTACAATTTCTCCTCCAACAGTTTGTTTTTTTGCAGTCTTTGACAGAAGAGGCAATTTTGATCTACTTCACTGCTTCATTATTCATTACTTTGAAATTAGAGAAATTTTCCCTCGTTGTCTCTACCACTGCACTTTCCTCTTAACACCGATGAAAGCGCCTTCGCACTTAGCCTTGTCCTCACGCCATTATTTCGGTACCAGATCACTGAACCGCGAGAACTCGGAAATGGCTTAACGGAGGCTCCAAAATTCTAAGTTTTTTCAATTTTCTGTGGCTGTTTATTGTCATTTTCTCGGTAGGAATTTTTAGCGGCTTATTCCAACTGATATCTGGTTTCTCCAATGGACTAAGAAGAACCTCCAGGCACAATTACAAGATCGATTTTTGTTTAATTTCAATGACTCAGCCGGTGAGCTATATCCTGGGTGACATTCTCCGGAATCCCATTCTTAGTTAAAGTGTATTGTTCAACGCATGCAGTGTTCCAATATTAAAATTACAGAGATAAGTAATGGACCATTCATCAGTTTGCCAAAGTTGCATCAATTGCTTGATGTTGGAATCTTGCTCTCTTACATAAATTGATCATCGCGTGCTGCTGCACGCGAATGCTCACGTGCCAATCAGCGACAGAACAACGACAAAACAACATTTTAAAGCGTTGTCATTTTGATAATCTGTATTTGCTCTTATGTTCTTTACGGAATTCTGACGGAATTAATTTCTCCAGCATCGTTTGGGCAATATCAAAGTCAGACAGTTAAAATATCAGTGCTAAACCAAATGAACAAGACCTCAATAAGCGATGCTGCCCCATGTTAGACGAACCTACACAGCGAACTAACAGTAGTGTTTTGCTGCGATGAAGTGCTAAA